GAAACGGTGCAGGGATTTATCTCTCTGCCTTAACAATAACAGTATGTTCTTAATCGCCACTCCAAAGGGACAGCTAGCAGGGGATCTGCCCGGCCTCATCATTAAAAGCTGGCAGCATCTTTGCTAGCGCTGCCCCTTTGTTCATCTTTCATTATTCCAATGCTCCGGCCCCGTTAATTCCTCTCCATCTTATTAAATCAATAGAGATGGAGTGGGGGAAGGATGGGGCAGAGCAAGGGTCGGATCCGGCTCGGATCTCGGCAGGAGTGCTGAGTGGGAGTGGGATCAGACCCGGTCTGGATAAGCACAAGTCGAGCTGATACCACACGTGTCCGAGGCTGTATTTCCCCAGCTCCTGCGGCTGGGGAAACTGAGGCACAAGAGCATCGCGGCCTAAGCCCCAGGAGGAGATTTGAGCAGAGCTGGGAGCACTTTTCTGTGACTGCCAGACCTGCACATCCCAGCGAAATCCGGCAAGATCCCCTTATTCATCACACACCGTCAGGACTTAGTTGATTTGATGATTTAATCAACTTTTAAAAATAAAATCACACCATTGCAGAGGGTGCCTGGTGCCAGAGCCTGCAGTACACCCCCAGTGGAAGCCCAGCCCAACCATGCCAGGGCAGCAGTGCCACCGGGATCAAGGAATGTTGTGCCACGAACCATTTCAAAGGGGGAACAAATCACACCATTGCAGAGGGTGCCTGGTGCCAGAGCCTGCAGTACACCCCCAGTGGAAGCCCAGCCCAACCATGCCAGGGCAGCAGTGCCACCGGGATCAAGGAATGTTGTGCCACGAATCATTTGCAAAGGGGGAATGGTGCAATTTTCTTTTTTTTTTTTTCCTCTTTTTCCTAACAGTTCATCTCACCAAAATAAAGCAATCTTGTTTCTAGCAGGCCTTGCTCTGTGTGTGGCTGGGAGCAAAGCCAGGGGTGAATTTCCTCCCAGTCTTTCCAATTTTGAGACTGGGATGGGAGCAGGAGAGCCGGTGGAGTGTGCACCAGCAGCTATTTAAGAGCTGATGTGCCCCATGGCAAACCCAGACCAGGGCTGATGGTGTTCTCTTACTGGACCCCGAACCTCCCTGTACAGCCCTGCACAGGATTTAGGCATGGCGCTGCTTGCTCTTGCTCCAACATTGCTTGGTGCACAGTCCTGGTCCACAGTCCTGTGTTTCTTGTTGCAGGATAAATACCTTTTAAACCCAGGATTTTTAAACGCAGGATTTTTAATCCCAGAGATTTTGGGCACTGCAGCGTTCACCCCATGGGAGTGATCTCCTTAATCTCCCAGTTTCCCTGCTGCATTTCTGGGCAGGTAACCCCATTTCACCCTTATTTTCATGCATCCAGGAGCTAATTCCTG